AGCATTGTTTTACTGCTGCTTTCTCTGCAACATTTGCAAGAGGTACTCAAATCACTGCAACTGTAGATTTTTATTGTTTCAGTTGCCCTACCTTCATCCACTTCCAAACACTTTATAAAACTTAACGTAAACTGTCATTTCTAGCTGCTCACCACAGTACATTTCCTAGGAAGTAAATACTTGCTTCTCAAGATCTTTGGGGTCTTGGCTTTCTTTAACCTAATCATGACAAGATGGAGGAGCAGCAAAGCAAAAGATAGCCTACTTGGACATAATAGCAGCAGGAGAAAAAAAGAAGGAAAAGTATCTGCCTACCTTAGAAATGCCAGCGTGGTACTCGGGTAGGCAGAGGTCTCCAGACAAGACACTCATATCCACTGCCAATGCTTCAGTGAGGTCTGGCAAGGGGTACACCCTGGCTCTACCCCTTCTGCTCGCTCAGGTACATTGCATGCACCTGAGCTCCCCTGGGTTGGCCCTGCCTCCCCACCAGGTGCTCAATCACTGGTTCAAGACATGACCTAATTATTTTCCAGGCACTGCTATTTTAGTAGTGCTTGCTTCTTTCCTTCTATTTTCTCTTAGGGGTTCTAAAAGTTGCTTATTCACAAAACCTCACCACAAAACCCACTCCTGATAAAATTAAAAAGAAGTTTAAAATCTGTGGAGTAATTCTCCATTTAGAGCTGAAAATGAATTGTAGGTCATCATGCCTTTTACCTATGATCTTGCAAACCAGAGTGCATTTGACTAAGCAGTTACCATCACCTACCATTTCCTGTCTGTAACATATTCCCACCCCTTAGCAATCCAGACAAGAAAATCCCCATACGATTCCAGTGTCACAGTTTGGAGCCTGCTGCTGTTGATAAATTCACCAGCAAAGACAATGGCTCAGCTAGTACCTTCCGGACAGAGCAGAGGAAGCTAGGAAGCCAACAGGGGAGGTAACTTTCTCCAGAGACATGGGGAAGTAGAAGCTTAAGTTGACAGAGGTAGAACTGATACAAATGCTCTGGAAGATACATTCTAGGCAGAAAACATGTTCCTTTGCTTAAAATAAGCAACAAGAGGAAGAAGAAATCATTCTTCCTAACATGACAAAAGCACATAATCAACTAATGAACTAACACACACTGCATCCACTAGTCTCAGAAATTAAGTTCTGTTCACATGTGTTCCTTGAATGTAGCAATACTAAAATTTAGTTCATGCAAGCATTATTTTGGAAATTTTTACATTTATTAAATAAATACATTTAGAAATTTTCACATGATTTTATAAAGTTTTACGTTTATTAAATAAATAACTCAGAACCCTCCACATTCTCAGATTATCCACAAGATGGCAGTGCTTGCATCATACGGAGTAATCTGACCTAAATGACTGTCAGTACAACCTGCCTTTTCCCAACTCCGTACGCAGCTCTCAGATGGCACATTCCTCATATCCAGGCAAAATCCTCGCCATTATTCAACTGGCTCAGCATTATTTAACATGTTGTAGTATTGCATTTTATGGACTAATAGTCAGGTGACAGCAAGCTCGGAGAAACTATTGCAGTTTTGACTCCTCTGTGAGCGTACCAGCCCCTGAATCTAACTACAAAACATGTAAAGAATTACAGACTTCAGCTCTGTGCGAAAAGTAATGCAAGGGCTGCTAAATGGGTTTGTTTATCTCCTCCAGACAGCTGGCCAGGTCTCCAAGAACCACCCAACATCTCAGCCTAAAATGGGGATGAACTGTAATAATAAAGTTATCACCCTGTATATGCCTATGTAGCAAAATAAAGTCACAGTTGTGCAGGTGCTACAATGCACGTACTAGTTTTATATAGCTATTACAGTGAACAGCAGTAATGAATACAAAATAGTACACGCTTTGAACTTAAGTATGAACTCCTTACACATCTTTAGATTCTATTAATCTTGCTCATGTCACTCATGTTAATATTAAACATATACAGAACTCGTGCACAGCCTACAGCTGTATTCGCACTTAGCTGCACAGATTTTCAATATTCATTAAATTATGCTTTATGTTTTACTAAAAAGCAAGGAACTATCATTGGTACACATATGAGAGCAAAACAAGAAGAATATTTCCGCTATTGTGAAACTATCACTACTCTGTAGATAGATAGGTAACAGAAAATGAAATCTAATGCTAGCATTTTCAGCCCTAACTTTTCAAAAATCTCCCTTTGAAAAAATGTATCAATCAAGCAAGAACCAGAACATCACCTTTTATCTGCAAAAGTTTTCATGTAAGATATATCCTACAACCACACAGCAGTATCTCATTATCCTGGCTTTATCCACACCATATTCTTAAAATAGACATTTAAAGGCCAAACAACATTACCTACAATTTAGGAGGTTAATAAGTCTCTGAGAATTTCCTGTTCTACAGCAGATGAGTATCACAGAAATAAAAATTCTATCTATGCGTCCACAGCACAATTCTTTCTTGCTATTCAAAACAACACAAGCAAGTCAGCATGCTATATAATAGTTCAATTTGAAATATATATGATAAATTCAAACTAGAAATATTTTCATAATACGGTAACAGCAGATTCTCATGATTAATTTGTTAGTAAGAGACTAGACAACAGAACAGAAAACCAGATGGAATATCCTTCAACATATGTAGATTTTTTACACCGATTGAATATATGCCATATCCTAGCTAGTACAAACCTAGCTCACATTAATCCATAAATCTGCATATGAAAGGCTAAAACAATGAAATAGAGCAGTTACTGATTTGCATTTGGACATTGAATGAACTTGTATGCTTATACTCTTTTCACCCCTATATGTCTTGGTAAATTAGAACTCCTCTTATGTAAGAGCAGAATTACAACCAGCACAATTTAAACTACTTTGGCATATGTCCTTGTTAAGCAGTTTAATAGCTTAATCTTCTGTTATCTGCTCTGGCTAACTACTAGTTTCCAGGTGTTACTATTTTCTGTTCTATAAGGTAGTATGCATGCTGAAATTGTATCTCTTTTTATTTATTTTTTTTCTGTAAGAATTATCCTTCCTAGAATTTCTCTACACACGATCTAAAACTAACCCTGGCATCTGACCTTTCTACATTTAAAAAAAAAAAAACACCTCAGAATTGTTACTTTTTTCCCCAGACCTCAGTAAATACACTGAAGACTACAACAGCTCAAGGTTACTTCATGCCTGTAGTCAAGCTTGCTCTTATGTCAGCAGCTTGCTTCTCCTGCCCTTCAGCTAGGAATTTAATAGAATTATTCCTGATCGATTCACAGCTGACCTTGAAATCATTTAGTTCAAGACTTTGGCTTCTCAAAACTAATAGTTCATATTATTTCTTACTCCTTCTAAAGCAGCATAGATCATTACCACTTCCAGAAGAAATGTCATTATCTTTGCAGCAAATTTTTCACTGTCTAGCCCATTTACACTACAAGAACTTAAAAAAAAATTACCAGATTTTCCTCAGTTATCTCTCATGATTTCTTGATTTAATTGCTAAACCAAACTCTTCTCATCTGTGTCAGAATGAGTGAAACTAAAGACAATGGTAAACTGTCAACATTTAAACCCTAAAGGAACATCTATTGAATCACTAAGGCCAAAAGTTCAGTTTGGCATAACACTGTTGGTAAGCTTTGTCTATGCTGGCTTCAACATTTGCAAGATGTGATTCTGCTCCACTGTAAATGGCTTTGCTGGTAGCATACATTTAGATACATGAATTTGTTGTGAATGATGCAAAGAACGCGAAGGTGTACAAGCTGAAGTATCACAGGTACAGAAAAACCATGTAAAAATTGTAGGCATATTTCACAGAACGATATCTGGTTTCCTTCTAGAAATGAAGGCAAGATTCTTATAAAATGAAAGCCAACTATCTTATTTTCTGTACAGGAACTGCTGTCACCATCCAGACTTCAGAACAGACATAATACATTTAACTGAAACTTCTGTACTACTTCTTGCAACTTAAAATAGCAACACGACATTCTCCCATATATCTGACAGCACACACAATAACATCTACACCATAACTACCAGAGCAGTCGCATAAACTTCGACATTCAGGAGTGGGTTTGGCCTCTCAGCTCCAAAATAACACTTCTCTTTAGATGCAGAAGTTCTCTAACAAAGGCTGCAAGGGCTCTAAGCTGAAACCAGTCTCCAGTAAGGTACACATAAGCATATGTTAAGATGAAAAGTGTGGAATCACTATTCTATGAAGATACCACTCACTCAGTCTCCCTCCATAACCATCAAGGTGATAAAAATAATGCTAGAAGGTTATCGTCAATGATTTTCTCAACCCTTCTTGCTTGTTTCCATTACTGTATTATTAGAGTGGAAGTCATGCTTAACCAGTTATGGCACTGTGACCCGGAACTTCTGCAACTAAGCAAGAAAGGTAAGGCCCATACAGAGACTTCCAAACTGACAAGCGCACATATGCCATCATGCTAGCCCTAAACATAAGAACACATACTAGCAAGTGATTTGCTTCCTCTCAATCAATAACTACAGCTTCATTCATCATAATAATTTATTTTACACTCAACCATTGTGTGCTTGGAAGGACGATCCTTCATCCTTTTTTTTTTTTTTCTCCCCCTAAACGATGTACCCCACCTGCTACTCCCAACTACATTTGCCTTTCTCACAGCTGTATCTTGTTAGCAGCTCAGAGAATACTCCTAATCAACAGTTTATTCCACTTTCTTCATTTTTGTTACTTTCAAATGATGCATTCACATTTTGAAGTAAAATATAATTACTAAATATATGACTTCATAATTCTACATTTTCTCCCATTTCTCCAACCTTCAAGGTATTCAAGGCATCATCGTTATTTGCATTGATTATGTCTTTGAAAACCCTCAAGAGTTAAAAATTTCTCTGGAGAATGAACCTGAGAAGTATAATTCCTAATTCTATTAGGTATTAAAATACATAGATTCAATAAAGGCTGGTTTTTTTACTCACTCTGTTGTTCTTGATGTCAGTTCCTCATTACACCTCTGTCTCCTACAAGAAAGAAAGATGTTTTTACTCCTTGTACCACCAGGCAAAAAAGCTTACAGCCCTTTTTCCTGCCACTCCAGTCTTAAATTTGATTAAAATAATTAACTTCAGATTGATGCTTTTTTTTTTATTATTACTATTATTTTTCCAAATGGCACTAATTGCTTCTCTTCTGAACATGAAAGAGGTTGCGAGCTTAAAAGCCCACCCTTTGTAACAGATTTGGCAACTGTTGCAAAATAGATATTTTTCCATGTTGGTTTCCTCCTCTAGTTTCCACAACAGATCAGATAAAGGTGAGTAACAAGCTTCAGACTTCTTCACTGAAGTAGCTACCCCAGCTCACTTAATGTCTCATTTTTAAGTATACTGATAATTCATTACAACAAATAAGTGTTAATATCTTCAAAAAACTTATCCGAATCCTCGTTATTCATAATTTGTTCTCTGACATAACATATTTCTTCCAAACTAGCCACACTGACATTTCTCTTAAAGACACAAAATTTAGATGTCTTACATTAAACAACAACAGATGGTATTACAATTATCAGCAATTCTACAAAAAAAGATGATAGTGTTAAAAGCAATACAGTGATAGATATGTTTTAGGACCCCCAATAACTTCTTACAAATGGTCTAAACAAATAAATAAGGGCAAGTATAATATATATACCTTTGCCTGTAAGTCGTGTTATTTTCTCTCCAAATTAAATATTTCAATGGTTTTCACAAAAAAAAAAAAAAAAAAAAAAAAAAAAAAAAAAAAAAAAGGGAAATTACATTCAGGCCCTTATCTTGGAACCTATGACACATTTAACTCACATGAACCATACCAAATAGTCTTCTTGACTCTCCTATGCAAACTGAATTTAACATTTTTTTGAATTGGTGAATTTGTACCTTCAATATAATAATTCCTATTTTGATATTTCTAAAGGAATTAACATTCTCAAGCATATAATCTGAAGAGACTAAAGCTCTAATCTTCTATAAGAATAATGATTTATAAGAAAGGTACAGTTATTCCAAGAATAACAATACCTCAAGAATGAATGATAAGCTTGTTAGTTATCATGTCAGAAGATTTCCTTTAATTTTTAAAAAAAAGTCAAATTATTCATGTTACATTTTTGCTGGTAAGTGAATCGCTAATTTATGAACAAAATTTGTAAAAATACAAGATGACAACTGGATTGCATAATTGTATATCTCAGTTCTACACAGGGCTGTGTATCACACATGGTAATTTACTCATAATTTACTGAGATAGCCAATGTTACTCAGCTCCAAACTGTATTGTTTTGGAGTTCTGTCCCTCACCTCTGAAAGTCTTTCCAAACATCTACTTAAGTACAGATGACTCTTTAATGGAAGCAAAGTGGCAAGGAAAAGGCAAAAGCATACTTATGAGTAGAAGCACCATTCCCACATGGAGATGACAGAGCTTATTAAAAATCCAAATGATATCTTCAAAGAACCAAAATGGAAGAAAACAAGTGGAGGAACACACCTTGGGTGTCACCAAGAGTTTCTTTAGCAGTTATACAATTAAGCATAATTTACCTCTGTATAGAGAGCTTTTTTATACAAGAGTAGTTGAATCTCACAAGCTAGAAATCAACCTCTCTTTGAACTTTAATTGACTAAAGAAATAAAAATCCTTTTCCCCTAACCCACCTCCATCCACAAAGTGAAGTCAGAGCAAGTCCTGAACATAACATACATCATCAGCCAACAAAACAACCCAAAACCTATATAATGTCTAATCCGATTAAGAAATTCTTCAACACGAATTCAGTCATAGCTAATATATTAAGTTCACACCTACATTTCACTTACTACTCCATGTGAATCCTCTAAGCACACTTGAGCACTGTGCCACAGAAATTAGTTCATCACCTGAGCCTCACCAATGCACCAACAATAGTTAGCAGCTGGGAGGGCAAAGGTCTGTAAAGAGAGCAAGTCAAATGATCCTGCCCTTTGTTGCCTGCTTCAGGGCATACTGGAAAAAGTTGGTGCAAGTTAACACCCAGCTCAGGTTTAAGCTGAGTAATTTGATTGGTTCTGCAAAAATGAAACATGCCCATGTAATCTGACGCCATTAGACCATATTTGGAAAGCTGCAGCCTCACAGCTGAGACCAATCCACTTTGGAACAAAGTTGCACAAGTGGGATTTGATTAAGAAGTCTAGAAGGTACACACCAGAAGCAGTCTGTTTCCCTCTATGCATGAACCAAAAAACATTTCTTAACCTCTATAGAATGTCTTTCTACTAAATGCAGTTCTGTCTTAAGCATAAAAAGAACTTTCTTAAACCTGTCTTTTATGTTCCCAATCTAATTTTTGCATAGAACAGTTCTGTGTGCAACAGAGAATCTAACTGATTGCCTCCTTCTGACACGTACTGAGAAAGCAGTGTGGAAATGAACATACAAATAGTTGTATGGGCCTTAGACTGAAGAACGGAAACCGTGATCAGCTGTAACAATCTCTCAAAACTAGAATTTCCCAAAGCAAGAGAAAGACCTGAAAAAAAGACATGAAAACTTGTGCTCAGGTGTAAATGCTTTTTGTTTGTTTGTTTGTTTTTAAATATTATGTTAAGAAAGCATGTTCTGTGTTACTTGAAAATGTTTATAAAAAGGTGAAACTGAATGTTTATAAAGAGGTGAAACTAAAGCCACTTCAATGCACCTGCAGGCCATGTCTGCCTGCAAAAAACTTGAGCAATCTAGGGAGTGCATAAACGTCACCTGGGGAACATGTGGGCTACAGCCAGTGTAGGAGACGAGGATGGTGAGAGCTGGGCTACTGCTGATGTGGTTCCTCTGAGACAGTAGGAAACCTGCTAGGTAAGTGAGTGGTGTTGGGGTAGTATCTTGTGTAATCTACCATAGGGATCCTGCTTTAGGTCTCTTCCAAATCCTACGAGTATGTGATCCACCAATGGAAAAAGGGAATTTTTTTGGGGGGAAGAGGTGGTGGTAGATTTATGTCCCAAGGAACGCTTTGGAGAAACCCCTATAGAAAAGATCGCAGAACCTGAAGATTTTAGCCGAATAAGTGTCACAACAGGGCTAGGGCTAGTCAATAGCCTCACTGCTGCACCTGAGCCACAGAGCCAGCTCTAGCCTTGGGGGGAGCGCGGAAGGCATAGCTGCACCCAAGGGCAACCTACCTCCCTACGACCACTCCGCTTCCTCGAAGAATCCCTCTCCCTCTCGGTTTCACCTCCTGATTCCCCTTCCACCCCCGTTCTCGCCTCCAATGCGGACCCGCAGCCGCGGCGCCCGCCCCAACGCTCTCAGCGGCGGCGCGCACCCGGCGCTAGGGCCCTGCAGCCGCCGCCCTACAGCTCGCTCCTCCCGCCGGGCCGCTGCTGGTTGCTGTCTCTCCTAGGCGCGAGCCGGCGGCGCCCTTGCTCGCCCGCGGAGGAGTCGGGAAACTGCGCAGCTCCTCGCGCTGACCGGCAGCCGAATAGGCGCTCTGGTCCCCACCCCCTTCTCCGCGCGGCTGGGAACGGGCCGAGGGGGGAGCGGCGCGCGGCATCCTCCGCATTGTGCGAGCTGCGCGGGCACGGCGCGGAGGTGCGGCCGCGGGGCCCCCCGGAGCCTCCCGTCCCGGCGCCGCCGTTAGCCGCGAGCCGCCGAGGAGCGAGGGATGTTTTTGTGTGCAACGGCGAGCAGCGGCGGAGCCGGCGGGTGCCATCGCGGGGAGAGCGGGCGCAGCCCTATCAGCGAGAGCGGCTGGGCGCGATGCTGAATTAGGCGCGCGCGGCCCGAGGGCGGGCAACGGTCCCCATGGCGAGCAGCCGGAGCATCGAGCTGGAGCACTTCGAGGAGCGGGACAAGAGGCAGCAGCGCGCCGGGCCGCGGCGCGGCGCATCGGGCTCGAGCGGCGGCGCGGGGCCGCGGGGCAACGGGCTGATCCCCAGCCCCGCGCACAGCGCCCACTGCAGCCTCTACCGCACGCGGACGCTGCAGGCGCTCAGCTCGGAGAAGAAAGCGCGCAAAGCTCGCTTCTACCGCAACGGGGACAAGTACTTCAAGGGCTTGGTGTATGCCATCTCCAGCGACCGCTTCCGCTCCTTCGACGCTCTCCTTGCCGAGCTGACCCGCTCCCTGTCGGACAACGTGAACCTGCCCCAGGGCGTCCGCACCATCTACACCATCGACGGCAGCAAGAAGCTCTCCAGCCTGGACGAGCTGCTGGAAGGTGAGGGGCTGTGGGGGGTGTGCTGGCGCACCAAGAAGCTGAGGGAGACCACGAGCATGAGTGGGCTGCAGCTGCCTGCTGCTAAGGCCTTGCTTTGGCAGCAGAGCTCGTCTGCTTTTACCAGCAGGTGGGCTGGCAGAACGGTGGGTAAGCAGAAGGTGCTTCTTCACTTCAAGAACCACAGGGAAGTTCTTGGCTGCCCTGTAGTCATCACCATTTGTAGGGAAGAGGAATGTTTCAATTCGGTTCCCTAATTGTTACGATGCTGCCACTGGTGCCTCACAGCAGCTTAAGCTTTCCCGGGTGCTGTGAAAAGGGATGTTTATAGCTTCCCACTTAATAAAACGAACCAGTGTAAAGTCCTGCTGGTATCCATACTCTTTAAGGAAAGATAGCTACCTAAATGCAAAGACATTTAAGGAATTGAATGCTTTTCAGAATTGTCTCTTAGCTGCCTTTGATAATGGGAGTTGCTGCAGAGGTTGTGTAGACCTTAAGAATCTGAGCAGTGCTTCACTACTTCTCACAATCTCACAATACCCCAAATTGGAAGGGACCAGAAGTACTTACACTGAATGAAACATACACCTCTTCTTTGTATAAAATGATAATTGCCTGAGCAAGGAACAGATAAGCCTTTAAGTGCTTTCTACAGCTTAACTTACTGTCATGTAAGCTTGTTCTGTGGCTTCCATTTTAGCCTGCAGCATCTTTGCAAGTTTGAAAGTGAAGTATTGTCATGTGTACTTTGTTATAAGCCCAAATCTGAGTATATGTAAAGATACCTCAAGTTAAGTATACAGATACACTTTCATAGGATCATTACAGAATTCAAACTCACCTGTGCAACTTTGCTCCAAAGTAGATTGCTGTCAGCTGTGAGGCTGCAGCTTTCCAAATGTGGTTTAATGGCACCAGATTGCATGGGCTTGTTTTGTCTTTGCAGAACCAATCAAATTACTCAGCTTAAACCTCAGCTGGGTGTTACTTGTACCAACTTTTTTCAGTATGCCCTGAAGAGGATACAAAGATCAGGGTTATTTGACTTTCCCCCTTTACAGCCCTCTGTCTTCCCAGCTGACAATTATGGTTGGTGTGTTGGCTCAGGTGGTGAAATAATTTCTGTGGTACAATGCTCATGTGTGCATGGAGGATTTATGTGGAGTAGTCAGTGAAATATAGGCATGAATTTAATATATTAATGGCAACTGAATTTACACTGAGGAATTCCTTGATCATGATAGACACTGTATAGGTTTCAGGTTGTTTTGTTGGCTGGTGCTGCGTGTTGTGTGCAGGACATGCACTTCTTTATTCTGTAGATGGAGGTTGGATGGGGGAAAAAGGATTTTTATTTCTATAGTATACTAAAAGGCAATTCTCACACATTTGAGTTGGCAACTCTCCTGAAAAGGAATCCTCCACCCCTACAAAGAGTTTTATGGAATCATTAAGGTTTGAAGAAACCTCTATTATAATCTAATCCAATTGTCAAGCCATCACCACCCTGTCCAATAAACCATGCACTTAAATGCCACAGCTTCACATTTCTTAACTGCCTCCACAGAGAGTGACTGTACCACATCTCTGGGTAGATGCCTCACCACTGTGAGAGAGAATTTTTTCTAATATTCTACCTCAATCTTCTATGTGGCAACATTAGGCCAATGCCTCCCATCCTATGCTTTGCTTGCAGAGTACACGTACCCGCAGAAGCTGTATTTTCAGTAAATGCATGTACATTCCAGTTAAGACCACTTCTCTCATGCTTTCTTGGGATGTCTTAGTATTCAACTTCAGCATTTGTAACATTGTAATGTGATGGTAAGTGCAACAATGACACTGAGGTAACACAGTTCTAGGCTGCAGCAAGCAAGGGTAAACAGATGCATCAGCCATAAACATCAAAAACAAATGGAAAAAAAAAACAAAACAAAACAAAAAAACCAGCTACTTACCCTTGAAAGTCCTCAGGTACACAGGGGTCTCCAGCAAGATATTCTTGCCACCTCTGCCAACCCTTTAATGAGGTCTGGGAAGGGCTCCTAATGGTCAGTTTGGAAACGCTAAAACTAATAAATAAAAGCTGGAGTGTGGATGGTGGGGAAAGCAGATAAACAAAATCTCAGATAAACTAATGGTAAGTTGGAGTGACTTTTGGTAAGTTGGAAAAACTTCAAGTCTTAAGCATTCATGCTTTAAAAAAAGACTTGCTGCGTAATCATGTAAATGCAGCTTATAGTCTCATAACTTCAGTTATTAACTTAAATATAAGCAAAAACTGACTTCCTGTCTCTTCAAATAGTCACTGAAAGAGTGACCTTTGTCAGTGTGCTTCACTGGAAGAATAAAGCAAAGCAAATGTCACAATGAAAACGCCACTTCATTGCTTTCTCTTTAAAATGAAAGGGAAAAGAGATTCCTGATTACTTAGTCATCTATCCACGACCAATGCAACTCTAAGGAATCTTAAGAATATCCTGTAACTTCATAATTGAAATAGTAAATGCTCCAGTAAGCATGCAAAAATCTTTACAAGTCCAATCACCATAAAGAAACAGGAAATGACATACATTGAGGGGAAGAAATCAAACTAGTAGTGAATCCATCATTCCTGAACCCTTTGCCAGCTGTGGTTTTTTTTTTTTTTCTTAGTAGGCTTGGGAGATATATTTTTTTCTTTTTCTTGTGGTTCTCTTTTTCCAGCAGAGCAAGCTTGAACTTTTTGAATGAGTAAAGATTGGTAATGTGCTGAATCTTGAACTGCAGTAGCACAACAAATAGTTTTGTATGGTGTTTGGTAGAATTGCTTTTTTAATTTTTGGGAAGTTAAAAAATCATGCATGCCAGCTACAGGCCGAACATCAGCCCAAACATGGCTACTTTATGTAATGCCTAATTATTTGACTAGCTTGTTTGCACATCAGTGTCACTGAAATGGTGCATGGAATCACAACAGTTGAAGTTAACTCATGTCAGCTCTCTGAATTAGGTAGAACTTGAGACCTTGGTCACGCTTATCAACCCAGAAAGATGTGTGTTAAGCTTCCTTAGACTCCAGCCCTTGGACACTGGCCTACTTATCCTAGTATCTAATTTGTTTAAAAGCTGGCAGCATCAAATTTTGTGCTGCAATACTCCAAACTGGTTGAATTAAGTCACCAATACATGTTTTTCATTAAGTCGTCTGCTGTAAAGGTAAAACAGCTAAAGGCACAGACATATTGTCAACGTCAAATATTATTGTCACAGGTTGAGTCACCTTAATAAATGTGATCTGGTCACAATTTTATTGAAACCTGACAAGCTCCATTTTAAGCATGTTGCTTTTCTTACTTGAATCTGACAGGCAAAAAGAACAACCCATTGTTTGCACGACCAATCCTAGGCAAATTTCATTTATATTTCCAGTCCCTGTAGATTAGGGAATATTACATATCATGAGTTTGACAGTTTTCGTTGCTTTCTTAAGCGGGGAGGAGTGAAAAACTTCAGTGTCTGCTTCTGATCTTGTTTGAGCATAGAAATCCAGAGAGAGAATGGATTTAGCAACTGCTATGAATTTCTTCTGGTTTTGCAAGCACTTTCACTATCTGATGCTACTCTGCTTTACTTTTGAGTAGTAGATCCAATGTGGAATTTTAAAATGGCATTAAATTAACAACAATGAAGTAATAGTTAAGTTTGTTATCTACCAAAATTAGCAGTTAAACATTCATCTTAATCCTTTGTTGTCTTTAGAACTGTTACTTCCTTAAAGCATAACACAACGGTAGTAGAAAGAACCATCCAATTCCTCAGCACTGAAGCTTCTGTTTGACATTGATGCTGGTTATGCCCTGTCTTTGCTATCCTGTGCTTTGATGTCTTGGTGGTGAAAAACCATTGAGAATCTTGATTGTTAAGATCTGCTGTTAAGCTGGGAGAAGAATGCAACAGATTTCAATTCTGGCAAGGAAAGTCGTACTGATTTGTTAGGTGACAGGGACTCTTTCTAGATTCTTAGGTAGGAACCATAGTTAAGAGTTACTTTTAAAAAAAAAAAAAAAAAAAAAAATTTACAATCTTAATTGATACTGTCCTTTTGAAGTGTCAGTTGTTTTGTCCACACACGTGAAATCAGCATACACCTGTAAAAAAGTCTGTGGAGAATCAGAGATGTTTCAAAACCAGACATTGTGCCAAATGCTTTCTGCTTTATATTATCATTGTCATTGCATATTACATAAGAAGTAACATAGTAACCTAAATTGTAAAAAGTTGTTAACTGTTTACAGGCTGATGCCTACAGACCCACACCCTGGGAGTGCGGGAAGGGGAGATGGGAAAAGGATAAGGAGTCAGGCCTAAAAACAAAACAGCAGCAGCAATCTGAGGAGGAAAGTTAATTTAATAGAAATAATATCTGAATGCAAGATAACAATATAATACAATATAATCAGAATTGAGGCTAATATATCAGATAAAATAGGAGAGAGTGTCCAAAACCAAAGGCTTTACTCTAGTGCTGAAGGGAAGACAGTTGGAGAGCACACATGCAGAAATGAGCAGAAAGGGAAAAGGGAATGTCTTGTGACTTGAAGTTTTATCTTTCCCTCTGAAGAGAAAATGTAAATGCAAAGTCCCCTGGGGTATTTAGTTATTCTTTCCTTCTCAGAACCAGGTACCTGAAACTATCAGCAGTCCATAGAACTGGAGCATTAACTCTTTAACGCCCAGTGCACTACATGACATTATGATATGGAAAATCATTAAAAAAAAAAATCATAAAGCCATGACATTCCACCTCTTATTCTACATCACTACATCATGCTTAATATATATATACAAACAATAATTAACACACATACACACACATGGAATTACTGACTGCACTTCCCCAACATCAAGTTCCCTTGTGGCACACACTGAACATCCCCATTTTTCCCCATGTCAGCCACTAAGTAGACCCAGGCCCCTGGACAAAAACATCTCTGCAGAAAGGTTTGCCCTTTCCAGAA